CTTTCTTTCTTTCTTTCTTTCTTTCTTTCTTTCTTTCTTTCTTTCTTTCTTTCTTTCTTTCTTTCTTTCTTTTGAGAGGAGCAGCACCCTCCACAGGGTCTTGATGTCACGATCCACCCCCAGCCTCAGCCAGACCTGGATCATGGGCACATGAATACTTGGAATTCCTGGTGTCGTTAGGTCTCCAGGCATGATCCCTGGAGCCCTCCCATGTGGGTTGGCCTCACAGAGTATCACATTCCCCCGCTGCATCACCATCAAGCCCCCCCTTTTTTCTGTAGAGGTTTTTGCTATAGGGCACATGTGCTCACCAGAAAGACAGAGAGAGACAGAGAGACAGAAAGCGAGAAATCACCCCCCAGGGGGGATGGCCACGCCACAATCCCTTCTCCTCCATTCTCCTCTTGGGATCTTGGGCACGCACGCACACGTGCCCAATGTGAGTTTTAGGCCACCGGGTCTGGGCCTCGAGCCGTGGTCGGCTACATGGGAGTTCAGCGACATAGCCATTACGCTAACTGCTGGTCCCCCCCCCTTTGACACTTCTAACAGACATCACTAGGGATCTTCCATGGAAATGCACACCTCTGTTTCCTCCAGACTTAAGAGCCAGCCATCCCACTTTAGGGTGTGATGGAGCTTCCCAGGGGAGTAGACACCTACAGTTACAATCACATCCGGCCACAGGAAATAGTGTTCATTTCTAAACCCTGCCTTCAGTACACTGAATGAGTTTTCAATGGGCTGAGCTCATCAGAGATTTTGGGTTTGTTGAGACTATGTGCCATGAGGTGGGGCCTAAGTCTTGTCCAGCATATGCCCTAGACTGTGCTAAATCCAGTGGGTCCCCTGGGTTAGGGTGGTGAGTCCCGATCTCAGGGGCCCTTTGCTACCTGTGACTCTTCTCTTTCTCCCTGGTTCTCTTCAGGAGCTTGAGCGTCTTAACCAGGTGCTGGAAGCTGAGAAGCAGCAGTTTGAGGAGGTGGTGCAGGAGCTGAGGATGGAGCAGGAGCAGATCAAGAGGTAGTGGTAGTTCTCTGGGAACAGGGGAGGTGGGAGTGCACTTGGGTCAGGGCATGCAAAGCCCATATCCTGGTCAGGCCTGGAGAGGCCTCTCCCTGGGAGATTCTGCTTGATGGCTCAGTTTGGGTCTATTTCACAATGGCCCAAGCCTTGAGTGTGGCAGAAGAAGCTGTAGCTTCCCCCACCAGTGGGTCAGTTTTGCCCACTGTAGCATGCAGCATGGTTGAGTGCAGACAGGCATCCCTCCAAACACCACGCCCCTTTGCCTCCATGAGAGCTTCTTACCCATTCAGACAAGAACAAGCTGGCCAAGAGGTGCGATTAGCCACCACCCTTGACACCCTCCCTTACTCCTGCACAGTCCTTTCGCGTTTTGGCTAATGATGTCATTTGGGATCTTCTCTCCCATGTACTATCTGCAAACCGACTTGTACATTGTAACCATCTACTGAGTTAGAATTTCTTAAAGTTAAGGCCAAGAGGGACCAGCAGGTGGCGTGGTGGTTAAGGCGTTGGACACTCCCACATGGCTGACCGGGGTTCGAGTCCTGGACCTGGTGGCTTGCTTTCTCACTTCCTTTCTCTCTCACTCTCACCCTCTGTCTCTCTCTGGTCAAATTAAAAAATCAACGAATGAATAAGTAAAAATAAAATAAATAATTATTAAAAAAAAAGTTAAGGCCAAGAAATCTACCTTTTTTCCCCCCTGGTTTTTGTCGTAGGGTATATGCATTCACTAGAGAGAGACAGAGAGAGACCGAGAGCAGGAAAGTGAAAATGAGAAACCACTCCCTGGGGGGATGACTATGCCACAGTGCTTTCTCTTCCATTCTCCTCTCAGGATTTTGGGCACATACATACGTCAGGCATGATTTTCAGGCTGCCATGTCCAGGACTCAAACTGCAGTCAGCCTTATGGGGGTCCAACACCTTAAACACCATGCCACTTGATGGCCCCAAAAGCTACCTTTTGGGAAAAGTACCCAGGTGGTTCTGCTGCAGCCTGACCAGGCATTTGGAGACTACTGCTCTGGGTAGTGTTGATGGTGGTGTTCATCATCGTCATTATTACTATTATCTTGGTCATCACTGAGGATGCAGAAACATTTTCCTTACAACAACCTAAACAGGAAGGTCAATTAGACATATTTAGGGAAGGAGAAACTTGGATGCTGTAGATAAGGAAATAGCCAAGCACCTACTCAGCTTCCAGAATTGTGCCAGACACGGAAAGAGAAGATGAACTCCCCTCCCTTTTAGGATCTTATGATCTGGTTGGGAAAGCCAGACTCACACCCAGGAAATATAAATACAATTAATATACAATCAGGTGCTAGAAGGCATCAGGCAGATTTCCTGTGTCAGAGGAATTAAGATGTATTCATGATCCTTGTGGGCTTGAAGGGCAAGCAAGATTTGGAATACTGAGTAGGAGAAAGGAAAGACATTCCAAGTAGCGGGGGGACCAGTGTAAACGTTGGAGGTGGCCACGGTGTCTTATTAATAAGGCAACGAGGAGTTTGTTACGCCATGCAGAGGCCTCGCCGTGTCCCCTGTCACAGGAGTGTGGGTTCTACCAGGCTCTATCCCGGGAAGACGGAGGGTGAGTTAGGACCCCTGTGTTTCCCCAGTGCTGCTCGGCCTGTGCAGTGGGCCTCCGTTTATCCCAACCAGCACATGTGCACCTGGAACAAGCGACTAACTCCATGTGGCTGACAGCTGCTGTCGGGGCCCAGCCATGCAGAGGGGCTGGCTACCCAAA